GTACCAGGACCAGGGGGCATGGCCGCGGGTGATACCAGGACCAGGGGGCGTGGCCGCGGGTGGTACCAGGACCAGGGGGCGTGGCCGTGGGTGGAGGCCAGTTTGCCCGTGGGGCTGTGAAGGGGACTGGGATGCAGGTGGTACCAGGCGGAGAGGACTGGGTGATGGGTGGGGACCAGATTCCTGGTTAAGGCTGTGGGCGGGAACCAGACCTGAGGGTGAGGCTGGAGTAGAAGGGCAGGACGTGGACAAGACCCATTTCAGGGGTGGGGATGAGGCAGGGATGGGGCTGGAATAGGTGAGGAGGGCTGAACAGTGGGAAGAAAGCTCTAGGGGCGGGCCAAGGTGGGGCTTTTCCTGGATCCCTGGACTTTACAGTAAACCCTCGATTTTGGGAATCTCCATTTAAAGGACTTCAGATTTTTTTTAAAAATATATATTTTATTGGTGTTTTACAGAGAGGAAGGGAGAGGAATAGAGAGTTAGAAACATCTATCAGCTGCCTCCTGCACACTCCCCACTGGGCATGTGCCCGCAACCAAGGTACATGCCCTTGACCGGAATCGAACCTGGGACCCTTGAGTCCGCAGGTCGACACTCTATCCATTGAGCCAAACCGGCCAGGGCGGGACTTCAGATTTAAGGGACAAAATTTCCAGTCCATATGTCATATGTGACAGTTAGCACCCTGTTAATTGTAAAATGCTTTTAACCAACATTGGCTTATAATTAACGGGTTTTTTTTGCTTTTTTGGTTTTTTTGGTTATTCACTATTTTAAACAAATTTTAGTGAATAGGCCATATGTTGGGAAAAAAACACTAGTTAAATTTTGCTGACATGATTAAATTATTACATATCTACGGCTCTAGTCTACGTATTAAATTCAAGTCACCGCTAATAAAAAATGTTGGGCGAATGATTGGCACATGACCGCGGTGTATCACCTATCGTACCTGGTTCTGTTGTTGCATGGGGTGACTGTCTGCAGCAGTTTTAACCCTGCCGGCTAATGTTCCCACTTGCCCTAAGCCACACCTCCGCTGTGTGCATTTGTTTACTTTCAGTGACTAGTGAATGCACTCATTTATTAGACCTATTCATTATAAACTAAAATTATTGTAATACATATAGAAAATTTTCTGGGAAATTAAGCTTTTCATACATACTTGATTTTATTTTATTTTTTTTAAAAATATATTTTATTGATTTTTTTACAGAGAAGAAGGGAGAGAGATAGAGAGTTAGAAACATCGATCAGCTGCCTCCTGCACATCTCCCACTGGGGATGTGCCCACAACCAAGGTACATGCCCTTGACCGGAATCAAACCTGGGACCTTTCAGTCCGCAGGCTGACGCTCTATCCACTGAGCCAAACCGGTTTCGGCCATACTTGATTTTAATTACACAAATGTGTCTACATAAGTAAAAAGAGGTAAACTAATTTATCAATTTTTTAACATCCTTTTGGAAAACATACTTTATTATATAATGACTTTCAGCTTTAACAGACCCACACACCTGAATTAGTCCGTTATATCTTCCATTATATCCAGGTTTTACTGTACAGGAAAGGTAACAAATTTCCTTCAATTTTTTTCACCACGTTCACACAACCTCACAAATCCTAATAGAACAAGAAACATGTTTAGGATTTTAATTTTGGGGTGCATGTTTTTGTTATTAATTTCTTTTTTAAAGTGGATTATATATTCGAATTTCTCTACAACTTGCTGTCCCAAACCAATAGA